TTTTTTTCCAGCCATCCGTTTACAAATGTGATTTTTTTATTAAGTTTCGTAACAAATTTCACGCTCGGAAAAATATTTTTTTTAATAACACTGACCTAACTCACATTGAACATTCTTAATTAGTAATTAGTGTTATAAATATTTCTAAAAACAAAGTTATTATAATATAATATTTAGTATTTGTTACAAAATTATAATTGTCATGGTCAAAAGTATATAATTAATTTTACATCATATTCATAAAATTATTTTACATATATACATAATATTAAACCTGACCAGTAATTTTTTTATGATGAAAACAAACAGACTCCTAAATTCGCTAAAATACCGAATTGTTATTACGTACTCTTAAAAACAGACTAAAGAACATAGAAAGCGGAAATTTTCCCTTCCTATGCAACTTATAAATCTAGTTTTCCTTAATTTGGCCTAGGACAAACTTTTATTTAACAAAATACGGAAATACTTCCATTTTAGCTTGTCTTCTGAGTGCTCGTGGTGGCATCTATGACAAACGCGAGAACTATGCAACCGTTCTAAAGATACCTTGTAAGAAATATCCATCCATCCATCCAAACATTTGCATTTATAATATTAGTAAGATTATATTTATTAGCAATCAATTAAACCAATATTTATCAAATATAGCCAGTAGTTGTTTTTATTGAGGAAAAAAGCGGATTTAATCGAGAAATTTGAATATGTCAGTATTTTATTAATGTTTTTTGCTATATTGATGATGTAGTTCTTTGTATTTTCGTGTTAATAGCGATGTAAATTACAAAAAAAAAACTTAATATGTTATTTTTGTTTTTATTACATTTTATGCGGGTTTTGTACTCTTTGAAAGAGCTTTTCCAACCTGCATTTTAACTACTGCAAACTACGGTTCGTGTTTGGTGACCGTTGATTAAATATCTCGGTCTGTGTATACCGGCCCTTAGGTTAAGCACACATACTATAAAACAATGACATAAGAAAGGATCATCATCATCAGCTCACTTTACGTCCCCACCGAGGGGCTCGGAGCCTACCCTAAGTTAAGGGTGATTAGGCCATAGTCAACCACGCTGGCCAAGTGCGTGTTGGTTGACTTCACACATGAATTTCTTCTCAGATATGTGCAGGTTGCATCACAATGTTTTCCTTCACCGTAAGAACGTCGGATAAATGTACATATGTAAATCGGAAATCGAAAAACACATTGGTACATGGCGGGATTCGAACTCAGGACCTGCAGATATGTATGTATTATAATAGTATTAATACATAAAAGCTTGATTAGTAGTCTATATGTTCTTCCATACTACGTTCTACATCTATGCCGAAGTTCAGCGAGATCCATGCAGCCGTTCTGGAGATACCATCTGACATCCATCCATCTAAACATTAGCATTTATAATATTAGTAAGATTGTCCGTTGTGTTTGTCTTTTGTAAGATAAAGACTAAGTGGTATTAAAACAAGTATCACTGCAATGGAATTCTACGGTTGCACAACATCTTCGAACATAAGGAAGTGAACGTTTGTTATAGCTGGCAACATTGTTTATAGGGTTGTCAACACAAGGAATACTTAATTTAATTTATTTTTATTAATACTGGCTAGCTAAATATAAAAAAAATATATTTTACTGAAGACCTCAACCACGTTGTCTTTAAAAAAAAAGTTTGATGAAAATTTTAAACATAATTTTTCATGTGAAGTACCATTCAAAGAGTAATTTACAGTAAAATCAACACACGAAATAAAATTGTTAGGAAGTCGGTGTTGCCTCATTTAAATATTTTGCGTAAATTCAAAGGATGTTGGCAGGAACTATAATTGAAGGTAATGAAATTAAAAACGAAGGTAATTGTGATGATTAACGATATTTGTAGATTTTATGCAAGATTTCATGTTTACAAAATACCGATGAAACTCGCCATTATAGCAAGCTTTCATGGTGTTACGTCTTGTACATCTGACTAGCGGTCGCCCACGAAAGTGAAGAAAATATAAGTTGTATATTAGGCCTGTATATCTTCTTATCAAAGTCGGAATTAAATAAGAACTTGATTAGTAGCCTATGTGTTCTTCCAGATTATGTTCTACATCTATGCCAAATTTAGCCGTTCTGGAGATTCCAATAAACTTCCATCCATCTATCCAAACATTCGCATTTATAATATTAATATGATATCAAATTAATAGGTAAACAGTATTCTAAATATGTTATTTAAGTAAAATCAAGTAGTAGCAATTTGTTGCTTAGTTATGGTAACCCTAGCTTAGATATTAAATTCTCCGTAACGTCGCCATCAACAACTCCTGTTAGTTCGATAAATCGAATAAAACACGTTGTATAAATCGGAATATATTACTGTAACAATTCAATAAATATTAACGTCTGCTATGACTTAATCTTACTTATATTATAAATGCTAATGTTTAGATCAGTCTTTCCCAAAGTGGACGATAACGCCCCCTTGTGGGCGCTGCAGGTCTCAAGTTGCGGGTTATAGTAAAAGTTTCGTTTAGAATTCTCCGTTAATATACATACATAGGTCACAATAATCAATTAATTTAATTTGAAGTTATAGAGGTTTTTAAATATGTGAAAATATGGGGGCGGTTAAAAAAATATTTATTCTCAACGCGGGCAGTAGACAAAATAAGTTTGGGAACCACTGGTTTAGATAAATGGATGTTTGTTTGAAGATATCTCCAGAACGACTGCACGGATCTTCAAGAAATTTGGCATACATGTAGAATATAATCTGGAAGAACACACAAAATAATAATTAAGTTTCTTTTTAATTCCGCGCGGACGGAGTTGCAGGCGACAACTAGTAATAAATATTTCTTTACTTCAAGATTTACTTAAACACGCAAAATGTACATTTAACATGTTTGGATTTTATATGCCGTAACTAAAAAAAAGGCATAAAATAAAACAATTTTTCCCAAATAAAAATCTTCACATGTTAATATAGCCGTAAATAACAAAAACTACCGAAAACTTTTATTACAAAAATATTTTTTTTTCGACTATATATTCGACTTTAACCTTCGAACTGCCGCTCGATTGATGGCAGCTACCATTTTGGTATACATAGTGGTATTTCATTAATATGCTGATATGTCCCAACCGGGGCCCGCACAACCCGCGGCGAACGTTTGCGATGGACCAACTGGGTCAGGGACACATCTCAGACGGTCTCCGCGTATCATATGTTAACCCTTCAACGGCTTAAGGTCATTAATACAAAATACACTAAACTGTATTATTCACATTATTTATTTAAATTATTATTTATCGACGTAGATTTTTTAGAAATTCTTATAAACGTTTATCAAAGCTACTTACTTATCTTCCATTGTTTTAATAGTAGTTTGAGAATCAGACGTGTTTGTAGAAAAAAAATTAAAGACAGTGTTAATCATACTAATATTGTAAATGCGAATGTTTGGATGGAAGAATGTTTCTAACATAATATGGAGGAACGGCTACTAATTATGTTATCCCTTTGATTCCACGCGGACAGAGTTGCGGGCGACAGCTATTTGAAAATAAATTTGATGGATGATGTTAACCCGTGCTTATATACTGGACCGATTTAAAAAACGGTAAATGAATGTGATTAAATCTTTAGAATTCATCAATAAACCATTGTAAATATACGACTCGTACATTTAACATACGACGGTGTATTGTTTTCCGACGATTTATTGAGTCACGTCGATTACTTAAGCTCGATTTTATAAATACATTAATTTCAGTCTGTCAGTATATAAAGATAATATGGAAGTGTGTTCGGATTCGCTTATGCGAGGTCGGTGTTCTGACTTGTTGCACAATGCATCTTGAGATTCAACTCTATAGGATACTAGGAGAGTCAATAGCACAGTTGTTAATCTCAGGATTTTAATTAACAAGTCCGAATTCATCCGCCTTTTTTTCATCGTTAGGTGGCAAACAAACAAGCCATCTGCAATCGCAGTAACGAAGCGACAGCTGCCCAAAGACCATTTCCTACCATTGACCAACAAAGGTGGACACAGAAAAAAATATGTATGTGTTTATGTATCTTGCACCAATTTGTTTTTAGATTTTCGTATATATTTGTGTGAAGTCAACTCCCACTGGGTCAGCGTAGTTGACTATAGCCCAGTCACACCTAACTTTAAGGTATACTCCGAGCCTCTCAGTAGGGATGTATAGCAGCGAGATATTTATCCTATGTTCTTACGGTAAAGGAAAACATCGTAATACAACCTGCACATCCGTAAACAAATTCAAAGATGTATGAGAATCTCACGCGGCAAAACTTGTCGTCAATTAGTTTTAATTTTGTTACCACGTGTTATCTAATTATCCGGCTCGAAGGACCAACTCATTCGTTCACGGTCACGTTTAAAGTGTGCGTGTTTAAACGTATGACTCGTTAGTTTTTAATAATTACTTATTAAATCGATAATTGTAAATAAATTACTATAAATATATAGATAGCAATGGCAATTTAAGTGGACGACATTTTGTTACAAAGTTGTTACTATGAAGAGTAAGTAAATGAATATGACGCATTCGGACGACGTTATTTGTTTTAAGGTGAATATAGACTAGAGGATTTTGTTAAGCATTTGTAAGGTAATGTTCTTACGAATGGTATATTGATAAAAGCACTGTTTTCAAAGTACGATTCTTTGTTCTGTTACAAGTAAATGCTGTAATCTATACTACCCTTTAAACTTTTTAAATGAAAATATAGCTTAATAAGAATTACTTCTAATCATATTATTATTTTGCTTTTCTCTACATTGATTTGTTTTAAACCTAAATATGCTATTTTCAACGAATATTTACGTATATTTGGCACGTAAATTGTCAATTTGCTATTGTAATATTAGTAAAATGGTAAAATTGTGAGATAAAATTATTTACGTCGGAACTTACTCGAATAGTTATGTCGAATATTTGTTCTAAACAAAAACTAACTGAAACCATTTAATTACAGATTCACCTATCGACTGAACGAATGCGACCTCAAAGAGTTTTAAACTTAAAATAAAGAAGAGAAAAGAAGAAGTATGGGTTACAAGCAGTACCTGGCTGTCGGCCAGTCGGCGCGGAATAGGCTGTTCGGCCTCGCGCCGCGCATATCCGGAGACAAGCGGACTCTGCCACTGAACATGATGATATCGCAACAAGGCAAAATAAACCATGGTAAGTCTTATATAACAGTTGTAGATTTATATATATTACAAAAGTATGGATGGATGTGTGTGAAAGAGGTTATGCGTAAGAAGGGGGTGAATTCAGATATGACAGCTGGTAGATATTCCCTCTGCATTTTCTACCGCATCTACCACGGGGAGTGCTCAGAAGAATTGTTTGGAACGATTCGTGCCGCCGAGTTCCGTCATCGCACGATACGACAGACCGCCAGGTTCCATCCACACCATCTCGATGGCTGGCAATCCACAACCGTGCGGTTTGCGCGATACTTCCTGCTTCGCACAGCAGCGTTGGGAATGATGGACGGAAGATGATGACATCAGTTTGGTTAATTTAGTTAGCTTATTATAATTTATTTTTATGTTTTAAAATAATATAGTATCATTAGTCATGTGTTCATTTAGCGGGAAACTGTAAATAGTGCGTATTACTGTTGTATTTTGCGGTGTGGCAACATTTCACGGACGAATTGGCATCCAATTTGTGTTGCCAGTTATTCGCTATTGTTATTGACCTAAACTGAATATGTTTCTGTAGACTTACACACTTTTATTTACACATGATGTCAAGCGCGAATAGCCTAATGGTTAAGGGTACGGATTTCCAATCACGCGGTCTACGGTTTGAATCCCGTCATTCGACTTTGTCGCAAACCATATCCTAGCACATGCATAGCGCGTAGTTGGAATGATACAAGAAACGTTGGTAAATAAACAGAAATCAGGTAATATTTAAAAGCAAAAAAATATACATTGGTTAATAAATACAAGGTTACTTTGACCTGGTGTTTCGGATCTCTAAGCATCTCCCCCTTCACCCCACCCACTTTAGTTCCGCCGTGAGGTCGCGACATTTATCAGATAGCCACCTTTCGTTTGAGACAAGTTTCTCCGACTCAAATATTTCCTTGATCAATATTTCACAAGGCTCTAAACAGACACAGAATTACGTAATATGTTGATTTTGATACATTTGGTTAGTTAAAAACTTTTCAGTCAGAAAATTTAGGTTATAATTTAATGACGACCTTATTAATTTCATTTATAACTGTTGGTGGCCATAACTGACCATTAATTAATAAATATATGCGCAAACGAGAATGTTCTAACATTAACCGTGGGTTTTTAAGACCAAAATCTCTATATAAAAAATATATCGTCATTCCTGTTGTTATCTTTAACAAAAATGGGATAAACTAGTGTCAAAGTCTTATTTCTTACTAATATTATAAATGCGAATGTTTGGATGGATGTATGTTAGTAGATATTTCCAGAACAGCTGAACATAGATCACGCTGTATCTGGCATACATGTAGAACAAAGTCTGGAGGTTTTTTTTATTTACGCGCAGACAGAGTCGCAGGCGACAGCTAGTATTTGTATAACACATAACATACCCTTATACTCTTTGAATAAACTGATTCAATTGTATACAAAATACAAGTATAACGACCAATGCAATTTCAGGGTTACGTGGCATAAAGTATTTATACATTATATAATAAAATTACATAAAAAAAAGTATTAAATAAGTTGAATATTCAAGTAGCAACACAATAAAATATAAATAACAACAAAATTTTATAAATCAGGTTAATGCATCGTCGTCAAATAATTCTTGCAAGGTGAAATATCCGTTTACACAATACGACACGACACGTCACGTCATGTTGTTATAACCAGCTGACTGTGGACTTCATAACTTGCGTGATCACCACTCTGGCCCAAGTCATAAGCGACTGATTAGAAATTCAGTCAAGCGAGCGTCTTAATGTAATAATTATTTTATTGGTCTTTTCTAATACCGGTTTCTCTGTAGAAACAACAGAATAATGATATTTCACATCACTTGCGCTTCGTCCCCACTTAGCATGGTTTGACATATTGAATATCTACAATAATTCGAGTGTAAGCCTCGGCTTCGTCAGCGCGGAAAAAAAATAGTAGCCTATAATATTCCCCCGTGGATCAGTTACCTTCGTGTCGGCCTATCCTTTCTAGAAGTTACCCGGAACAAACATGACCTTGCGGACAGACAGACAAAAATGTTAAAAATTGGATTTTCATCATAACCAAAGCTTATTCTTTCGTGGAATATTACTTTTTTAATGTCTACATATAGACACTACAAGTTTACTAATATAATTTTCAAATTAGGTAAAATAGTTAAGTACAAATTTGTAATTCAAATAAAAATACGAATCTTTTGCTTAATCGTTTGTATCATTAATTACAATAAACTCGCTATCTCTTATAACTTGTACCATGTAATAATAATTACGAAAATGGCATATCGCGCGATCATTAGGCAATGCACAAAAATTGCACACCACACAACACAGCGAGTTCGTTTCCAGTACACACTGGGTCACTGTGTCGTCTTGTTGCTTACACTGTATTTGTTATTTTAAAAAATACAATAGAGAAAGCTACCCTCAATTATAGAGGATCGTGTATCTTACTATTATTATAAACACGAAAGTTTGAACCTGACCTTTATTAGCACGTAACACAAAGAAAAATCTGTATGACATTTGAAATTACTTTGTATTACAGTCTGTAATAGAAGGCTGTTAATTTTTTCTAAAAAGGTACGCGTAAGCCCGCTCCGGACGCACCGGACACACGGCCCGCAACGGATTTTAGTTTGCTGTGTATGATTTTACATAGAGCTGCGTCCATCATCCGCGCCGCCCGCATTTATCAAGCAATCCGTGCTTCTGGCGAGGGCCAATGGACGTGTACCTTTAAATTACACGCGTAAAGTCGCGGAAGACAGCTAATAAATAATATTCGTATTACTACGTAGTTCACTTAGTAATATTTCGAATCGAATGTATTTAAAACATGTTAAATTTAAGAATCTTAAACAATCGTAGATCGAAGTTTCCTAAACTAGTCATTATGAAAACATTCCAAACATTTTATAATAATTTTACTGAATGTACTTGTAGTACCTTACCACGTGTAAACTCAACCTTAATTAATTATACGTAGTTAAATAACTATTAGAATTCTCCTTGATATATTGAAATTGAACCACATATGTACTTGTAAATAAAATAATCAACTTCCTGATACATTCAAAGCCCTTAAATAATTCCTAAGCGTTGTTTTATAAAAAATACTAAAGCCGATTAAATAACACTTATTATTGCAGTTAGATTGCAACCTACAATAATAGTTCTATTAATTTTAACAATGGTAGAACCCACATACAACTGCTGGAATACGATTCGCTAGCTGGAATGCCATAAAACAGAAGACACGCGTCATTCCGCGATTAATATGAGGAAATATTGGGAAGGGCAAGGAATCGGAGGATAGAAACAATTGAAACTTGGGAATATTAGATCTAGAAACAAGTTTGTTTCCATGGAAGATGGGTCGGGTGCTATATGGGATGCAACCTGTTCAGATACGCTGGCCCCTTTCTATCTACATGGGACCAACAACAGAGCGGGTGCTGCTTGTTAAGCGGCAGAAGCAAGCAAATACAGGGGTCTATGCTCCGAAGAAATTTGTCCCATTCGGTGTCGAAACCCTTGTTCTTTGGGGTCCTAGCGTTTTAAGGCAGGGGACCGAAGAGCTGGCAGCTACCTCGGCCATAGAATTAGTATAGCTATTCAAAGTGGGAACGCTGCCAGTATATTCGGAACCTTGCCTAAAGGGACTCCTTTTAATAATATATTTTAGTTAATTATTCGTTTTTATTATTTTATGTAATAGATTTAAGACTCTTTTATTACTGAAACAACTTAATTTACTTAATTGACTGTAACAAGTTAAAAAAAATGTTGTATCTTATACGTTTATAACAAAACAAAGAAGTATAATTTACACGTAAAAATGTGTGAATAGTTTTTTTTTTTATTGAATTAATTCAAAACATTGTAGACAACAATTATAGTTGTAAGATTAATACAAAAACAATTAATAATTGTACGTTATAAAAGCTAAGGAATGTGATACAAAAAAACATGTACAATTGCTAACAAGAATGCAACTTGCGCCACATTGTTACGTCAGAGCTTTCAAATCGAAGGTAGAGTCAGCAAAAGCAATTTTTTAACAGTGGTAGAGACCAACAACAACCAGTTGCACCAATGAGCCTCGCCCAGCACAATACCACGACCACACAGAAGACAGACGTATAATTATCAGATACGTCGCCACTGAGACTGAGCCTACCCTAAGGTAGGGGTGGCTAGGCCATAGTCAATCACGCCGCACAAGTCCGGGTTGGTTGACTTCACACATATCTTTGAATTTCTTCGCAGATATGTGCAGCATCACGATATTTTCCTTCACCGTAAGAACGTGGGATAAATGTACGCATGTAAATCGACTCGAAGGATCTGCAGATTGCAAGTCAAGTGCTTGACCCCTGAGCCACCGACACTCCATGTTCATTACTAGTTTTAAATCAATATGTGTGCTATTTTATATCAAAGATTTAAAGACATTAAATGAGTGATGATTTAACGTTCATTGCTTAATACTGTCATTGCCATTGAGTTAATGCGGTCCTGACACGCGATTATTAACATGGACGAAATACCTGTAACTTAAATCATCGATATTGTAAAAAACATCACTACCTTGTAGATGTTTTATTGACATCGGCACATCCCTATAATCAGGTGTTTCTTTATTACGCGCAAAAGATATATGACAGAGTAATAAATACGTGTCGAAATTGGATGGACCATGGTCTTAAAATGGTTGGATGGGATCTTGATATATTTGTTGTCCGACATTGTAAATATCTCGCTTCTTTTATGTCGCCGAAACAGTTTTTTGAGTATTTTATGTTTTTAATATATTATTGCAACGAAAGTTTAAATTAAAAATTATTTGATTTTAGTATCATTTTCCTTTCTCATGCAATATTAGCAGATTGTTGACTGATCACTTTGTTGTCCGTCCGTCTGTCTGTATGTCAAGATCTTTTTTTGGATATCCGCAAGGCCGTACTTGTCCCGGGTA